TGGTGGTAGTGGCGGAGGTGATGACAGGCGAGGCCGGGGCGGTGGGGACCGCCGCCTTAGGTCGGGTCGGCTCGGGGATGGCAGGCGAGGAGGCGACGGAGGCGGAGGTGGCGGCGACGGTGGTTGGTACCGCCTGCTAGGGGGGAGTGGTGGCCGCGGCGGCGGCCGCGGCGGCGGGGACGGGGGCCGTGATGGCCGCGGCGGTGGCCGCGGTGGCCGTGGCGGCGGCCGTGGCGGCCGTGGCGGCCGTGGCGGCGGTCGTGGTGGCCGACCCGCGCTGCCATCCGCGAATGTGCCGTCACCGTAATCGCCGTAGTCTCCAGAAGCTTGGGGAGGCGAAGCTGTTACCCAGTCTAATTCATCTTGAGGATCAGATGGGAAAGACGGATTTTGAGAGCCTGAGGAAGAGCCGGCCGGATTGGACGGCATTTCGACGCCCGCTCCAATGTCGCTGTACGAATCATCGTACAGAGCCATCGTACGACGTGGCATTCGTGTTGTGCTGGCTGCGACGACGGATGCCTTTCCAGACCACGAGCTTGCCAGCAGCGCGGCTGCAGCAAGTAGCAGCACAGTCCATGTGTTCATGGTTTGGTACTTTCGAAAGCTAGTCCTGTTGTTGTGAAGGGAAGCACATCCGCTGTAACGGTAAGGCTTAGCCATAACACCGGGTTCCGAGCAGCGTCGTTGGCTGTTGTCGACTTGATGTTAATCCCACGCCCACCGCTTTCGCACTGCTGCAATATGCTGCCCAGGCTAAGTTCGGTAGCTAACCTTGAGCCTTGGATGAGGCTCAAAGCGACGTGGCTGATATATTCACAGGTTTATTGAAAAGTACGGTACCTGCGAACGGCTACTCCGATCCTCTAAAGCAGTGCGATGTTTAACATGTAATGATGCTTCATAAGCCAGCCTGAAAAGTGCAAAACATAACTGGTCGCTTGCTCTATTTGATGCTTGTGCTTCTAAAGAGAGATTAATCCAGCATCGATTGTAAAATAATAGTGCTTATGAGCTATAATCAATAACATTGTAAATATCGGACAACTAAAGTTACTTCGTTACCGGCCTTTAGGAGCTTGCCGTCTCTAAACTATGTCAGCTACGTGTTCAGAGGTAAGGAGCTTAAGATGCCATAACATCTTATTTGTTTAAGTCAAGTTTAATTAGCCGTTGCATGTGGCAGACTAGAAGGGTACTGCGTACCAGGTAGGGAGTCCCTGTGGTGGGCGTTCGTACGTTCGCTTGCAAGCAGCGAAATGCAACATCGGCCTATTGCATGTACGTAATGCTGAGTCTTGAATCGTCGAAGGATATCATTGCGTGTTTATATGAAGCTAAAGACGTTGGTAAACTGCTTCTGAGTAACTTCTGGCTGCAGACAAGCCGGTGGGATATCATGGGATAACCGACTCCAAATCGCTGAAATCAGTCAGCACAGGAAGATGAACTGGAAAATCGGATCATGTGAGATATCTCAACTTGTCGCCCAGGCGCCCGCAAATGAAAACATCCCGGAGTTGCAAAGAATAATCGTTTTGCAATACATTTAAAATGCAACTAGTGGTACCAGGTTCATACTACGTCCAATTTTCAAAATGACCACTAACCAAAGGAGTGAAGTGCTACTGGTTAAGGGAGCTGTGCTAGGTACGGGCATCAAACTTGATACACCAAAATGCCTCAGCCCCTCAGCAGTAATGTGACATAAATTCCTACAAAGAAGATGGCAATCACTGGGCCGCATTGCAGCCCTGCCGAGCCGCGCTACGGCAGGGCTGTGTTTTTGCGGCCTACGCAAGTGCACGGCATTCTCTGCCCACGGTTACTGAAGCATGACACTGTATGGTGGTCGAGTGCCAGCGAAGTGCCGCTTCCGACCAAGCGCTACTTCGTGCCAGTGGTTGAACCAACGAATCGGAAAGCAATCGCAGGCGGACAACCGCCAAAGTGCTGCCCTTCTTTCTGCGGCTTTGATTGTTAAGGCTGGTTAGGTATACGACGCTTCGCAGCGTGCTGCTTCTCCTGCTGGACTCCCGCACGGCAAAATGCACCTGAGGACAAATCATTACGGTTACTGAAGGATGTGCTTACGATGAAGCGACTCGAGCTGACTCAAGGCTGATTCGTGTGATTTGGGTTCGATTTAGACCCCTAAGCGAAATGGCACCGGTAGTGGCAATGCTTCGGGTTCATTTGACCTGGTGATTCGGCTGACCCTTTCTAGAGGTAAATATTTCCCAAACAGTTTTCTGATTGGTGAATTATGAGCATTCTTTTGAGATTAACGCATTTCAGAAAGCGCGCTAAATGTACTTCGGTATCAACTGCGACCACGTATGTGTAAAACAGGAGATAATATCATTTATAAAGATAAAATGTATACTTTTTCATTCCTAGACAACGCTGGCCGCCCTCCAAGGTCCTCTACTCTACACCCAGATAGTACGCAATCCCAGAGTCACCCTAGCCACCTTCGAAAAACCGAGCTGCAAGACATAAATACGCATGTATACAGGTACAAAAAGTCGCAGTATGGGCCTGGGCCTATACATGTATGGGCGTATGGGCGCGGGTGATCCGGTCGAATCCGCTGTTACGGCAATCCTCGTCGGTTGGCGACGGTTAAGTATGTAGCACAGCGATCTCTTAGAATCGCATCAAGCGTCGGCATCAAATGCAGTAAGAAGCTTCTGGACAAATGTCTCCCCTCATTCATAAGCTTAGCAAGGATCATGATGAATTGCGAGCGGCCTGCCGGACGTACTCAACAAAAAGCAAATGCCGGGTAGCGTTTCGGGTTCCAGGAAGTTGGCGAGTAGGTGGGTAGGCAACTGTAGATAGTAGGCTGTTCCAAGGACATTGAAGAAACTTCGAGAGTTCGCCTCGCCTCGGCATCGGCTGGCTGCAGCACGGACCCAGAACGGACGCAGGAGGGTATCAGAGAGCCACGCATTCCACGCCCGCCATTCGCGACTTTCAGAGGGGCAAAGAGGTAAAATGCGGGAGAGAAAACATCCCCTCCCGGTCAAAGAGATTAAAGTGTTGTTAGGGGATGTGTCCAATTTTCGATGTACTTTACCATGTTTACCAACATAATAACTTAGGGCCACAATTCGTTATTGAACGCAGTGCTTAGCGCGACCTAGTCCCTGGTGAGTGGGGATGCAAAACACCCAGATGGAGTGGTTCCGACGGTCCCTCCCTCGACGCCAACATCAATTTGCTCAATTCTTCTCCATTTGTGTTCGGATTGCCTGCCTGCATGTTCCTCGGAATAATGCATGCTACCTGCACTTGCCAGCACTTGGTGCATCGCCTTGCACATTTCAACGTTTTGAGCTTGCCTGCACTGACATCAAGCCACCCCATCCCATCCCCAGGGAGAATTCCCTTACAGGCCACCCACTAACCTGGCGCACAGCTCTACATTAAACCTGTGCAAAAGCTAATCTGCGGACAGTGGTGCTTGCAACTTGTCGTGGTCATAAATACTAAGGTTGTTAGGGCGCGTCGGTTTGAGATGTAGGCACTGATAGAAATCCGCACAGAAATGGTCGTATAACAGAAAGTGGAACCGATGAAGGGAAAGCCGCCATTACCCGACAACGACCATTACCCTACACGAGCTAAACCTCCGGGAATGCTCATGTCAAGATAGCCATCCCGGAAATGGTTTGGCGCCAGGGCATCGATTTGGCAACGTGCCAATGCAATAGCGGAAGAAACCTCTCCTCGCGTGCGACACGATTACAGAACAAAAGTGGCCATTCGAACATCATCAGCGCCGAAGGAATAGTAGGGCGCCTGTAGAGCTTTAACGCGGCCTAGAGATGTCGCACAAATGATAGGCATTAAGACCCACATCCACATGCGCGAGGTGAATGCAACGGCCAAGGTGACGGGACACAAGGATCAGCTAGGAGCCGCGTATCATGAACCAAAAAGCTTGTCAACTAGTCACAGGCAGGGTCACCTGCCACGTTTTAAGACATACCTGCGCAAGCAAGTGTGTATACACGTGCTGCATATGCCTGCCTCACGCACAACAAACATAAGGCCCGGCAGTAGTCAAGAGCGCCATAACATAAACAGCATAGGACGCGGTAGCCGTGGGTCGTTTGTACCGTCACACGCATAACGGCCCCCGCTTGGCGATGAATTGGATTGGTGCAACCCTAAGCCACAGCCGCAGCAAGCTGCAACAGGTCCGCCAAGTACGAGCAGTACCACTCCATAAGTTGCATGGCATGGATAAAAGGATAAACGCAGGCGTGCGTGTGTGTGTGTGTGTGTGTGTGTGTGACATGGTCGTGGGGGTGCATACCCCATACCTGCAAACCGCCCAATACGAGCCGAGGGCTCAAGGGCTGCCAGATCGCCTATAATCGCCATTCTTCCTCGCACTTCAGACAAAGCAAGTGACAAAGGAGGCTAACGACCAAAGGGAACGATAGAGTTGCGGTGGGACCACATACGTTCCAGCATCCTTGCCAGGTGTTCAGGTTCCCACTTCATAGCGTCCTTCAGATGCTCAAAGCGTGGGAAATCCGTATCAGATCTTATTTCGCCGTACACCGGACAGTCCAACAAGACGTGCTGCGTCTCATCGTCAATAGGGCTATCAGTGCCGCAGCAGGGGCATATCCGCTCCTCCCTAGGTACATAAACGCCATCCCTTGCGCACTCTGTTCGCCGCCAACGCCCAACAGCAAGGCCTAAACTGCATAAGCTTAGGATTAGCTGAACGCGAAATAGATGTTGTGATATGCGGGAGCACCTCCTTCCTGCCCGCTTGCTTAGCCGCCAGACCCATTCAGTGCTGATATCCCGCCTTGTGGATTACCTGTTGTTTACTGTGTGACGGGTACACGTCTGGCTGGACATCCAGACGCGTATGCTTCCAACCGCACGTCAACCGATGCTTAAACTCCGATACCACACCTTCCCGCGATGGCCTATCCATTAGCCATTCCACTAGTACATCAGCCTCACGTAGCCCTTGCGGGGCTCTTTCCATACGTCGTGCCCCAGAAAACTCAGAAAACGGAGGACCCGTGACCCCATCCGCTCCCTTCGGGTTTTGGAGAGCGCCTTTACAATCTCCTGTCGCAAACGCAGATATCAAGGGAATGCATGCGGGGTTTCAGATCACCCAGCGCATAAGGCAAATCTGTAAAGTCCGTCCTTCCGTCACTTATCTCTCCCCTTCCGGAGCAAACGGATAGTAACCCCGACCGCCAAATGAAACCTATACCAGCACCGGGCAGCCAAGTTATTGCACATCCATCGTGTCCTTGTCACGTGAGTTTTTGCTGCTGGCCCTGGCCTTCTTGGTCCGTTTTACAGGTTGCGCCGCCGCGTCATCAATGTCCATCTTGGCCTTTGCCCTTGCTTTAGCCGCCTTGGCAAGGACAGACTTGACCTTGGCTTTCGACTCCGCGTCCACCACCTTGATGCCCTTGATGACAACGCCTTTCCGGATGCGTACACCCTTGTTCTTCTTCAGCTTCTTGACGCCTGCCTGATGCTTCTTGGCAAGCTTAGACGCGCGCTTCTCCGCCTCTGCCTTTTCTCGCTGGAGGTCGAATTCGTGCGCTTTTCGTTTGGTGCCTTTATTGTTTTTCTTACTCATGCTTATAGTAGCTAGGATAAACAAGTAGGCAACTATTGAATTAGAACACAGTGTGCTGTTGCATATATCATGAATATGTATAAGCTGCGGCAGCCTCAATCTAAATTTACCGTTGCTGCGTTTGGTTCCGGAGCTCGTTGTGCACCGACATCGCTATTTGTCCAAATTGGCTTGGTCAGCTCAAATGACTGGTGAAGCCTGTAAGGGCCTTGGTCGCTGCGTATTTTTTGACTAGTAACATAGCGGACTGATGGCACTATTGATTGATTGTCCAAACAAAGGTTGATGTTGCGGGAGATTGGTGTAATAAGGGACAACACATCCTTACCAGCCAAAGCGCCAGGACTACAACATAAGAAGCGCTGCAGACAAAGTATTGAAATGGTCGTACTAACGGACCCATAGGCGGGAACTACCGGTCACTCCTGATTCAAACTTTGTTTGCGGTAAAGGTAAAGCATCAACCCTGCCGTAGACTATAGCTCCTTGCTAATTAGTCTGCGTTGATATTCCCGTGCTGAGGGTTTGCTAGCGGCCCGGCGAAACGGATTAATTTAGCGGATCACCCTTAACTCAAGTTAGCCCTTCTCGTTGATCTAAGAATACCTCCAATGATACGAATTCATACTGGACTGCATTCCGGTGTTGGCAAAAGCCACTCGATCAGTGGTCGTCCCCGTCATGGTTTGCGTGTAAGCAGACCTATTCGTCAGCCTCGCCTGGGTGTGTGCGCCTTCAAAGACTGGTTCAGTGGTCTAGTTCAGCAACACAAGGAAGTGGCACAGCCGCCGCAGCCGGTTTCGCAGACCGCCACCATTCCGGAGCAGTTGCTCCCATCGCAATCCCAAGCGCAGCCCCAGGCGCAGACCGCACCGTCGAAACTTCCGCCGAAGCGGGATTTTCTTGAGGCTCGACAGGTGCGCAAGCATTACGACCTTGCAATCTGACAAGCTTGTCGTAGGTGTATGCGTCCCGGAAATGAGGAAGTCAAGTCCAGTTTTAATGATGCACAGCATTTAGACCTGTGCATGCAGACAGCGCCGCAGATCTTGTCCGCGCGAAGGCCTTATCAGAGCCCCGTGATGTAGTTGAGGAGCGGGAGCAAAGGAGCTAGGAAAGGACTAGGCGATTTTCCTCACAGAGGCAGGGGTAGCTGAAATGGGTTTGGGTTTTAGGGTTTAGATATTTATCGGTCATGTTGTTGAGGTTATCAGCCCTAATCGACTACTTTCGTAGCATCGCGACTTTGTACAGAGCGGCTCGTATGTCGAGAAGAGCTTTGTAGGATGGCGCGGACCGAGACTGTGCCCTACATAGCCGCCGTACGGTGTACGAAACGAATTATTCCCCCGCAGCTCCCCAACAGTTTTATGCATTTGTATTTCCCTCGCAGTTCTTCGCATTTTTCCGAGAATTCAATTTCCGTAAACTAACCCCCACTCCATTGGGTTTCCCGCTCTATCCGGACAGTGCTAGGGTTTGTTTTGTATGTACCAGGCTGCCATAAACGTCTATGGGCTTCTACGGCTATTACTACTTGCGCCATGAAGTTTTAGCAATATGAATTATTTTTATCAACATGCATACACAAGTCTTCGCCGTCCGCTGGGCGCTGCTCCTGAACCTTCTCCTGGTCCTGCCGCACCACTTTCATCCCCCCCCCAGGTGTCCCTGTTCCAACTGTTCGACTCGTCCGATTACAAGTTCGACATTCCAACCTACCAACGGCCGTACGCGTGGCGCACCAAGCAGATATACGAGCTGCTGCAGGTGGGGGTCTTATGGGAATGTGCGGTTGCGAGGGATGTGCAGCTGCCGGGATGTGAGTCACACCATCGAGTGAACAGTTGCGTCTGTGCAAGTTGTGACCCACAGACTTGGCCCTCTGGGCTGTGGATTCTTGGCATCTTGGCATCATCACATTATGCACCTCCCCCGTCGCGCACAGGACTTTAAAAAGGCGTACGACTCACGGCAGGAGTACTTCTTGGGTGCCATTGTAGCCACGCGAGCTGCGGATGGTGCTGATGTGCCGTACCAGGTACGTGTGTGCCGTGCATATCTACACGGTGGACTTTGTTTTTTCCTTTCAGTCGCTTTGTGTTTCTGTAGTTTGCGGCTTCAGACATCGAAGACGTCGGCATTTGAGGTCTCTCGTTCTCCTCCGCCCCGCCCTCACCCGCCACCCGCCCCTCCCCTGCAGCTGATAGACGGTCAGCAGCGGTTGACCAGCCTGGTGCTGCTGCTGGCCTTCCTGCATGGCTGGGCTCGGCACCAGGGCAATGATGGGCTGGAGGGCCGCATCCGGAGGATGCTGTACTTGGAGGCTGATCCCCTGGAGCTGGGGAGCAATGGAAGGTGAGGGACGGCTAGCTGTGAGGAACGGGAACGTGGAGGGAGGGAAAGGGGAAATGCATCGGGACAGCTAAGGCATGTGTACGGCTTCTCCGCCGCGCGGAAGGTTTGGCTTACCGTTTGGCCCCGTTTTGCCTCTAACTTGCCACGACGCCCGGTGTGGGTGTGTGTGGGTGTCAATATGGCGAAATTTGATATGTGCTTTGCCTTTTTTTGAGCTTTGGTTCCCGGCCGGCCTTCAGGTACCGTCTCCGTCTTCGAGATTCTGACGACCAGTTCTTCCGTGAGAATATTCTAGACGCCTTCCTCCCGCAGCGGTACCGCCTGACGGGTCTGGCGGCAGCGGCGACCACAGCTGCTGGCGGCGGCGACGACGGCTCGGATGCAGCTGATGCCGTCGGCTTCGACGGTGACGGCGACACCGAGGTTAAGCCATTGGAGAATGAAACCTGGTGGCGGTTGTACGACAATGCGACGTTTCTTCGGAGCCAGTTGGATAAGATGGTCTCGGAGGGGCTCAATCTGCAGGTACGGACAGGTATGGCGCTGAGGACGCCGTGTACAAACCCTAAGATGAAGATTTCTACGGTGTCTTATGTCGCATTTTCCGCAAGCCTCTCGACTGCTTTATTATAACTATCTTCCTACTTTCAAATCTCTTCCCTCTGCTTTTTTTAAATGTAATTTCTTACAGTGCACATATATCCTCCTCTCCACAAAAGCCCCTTTTTCTCTCTCCGAAACCACCGAATACCACCCCAGGACTTTGCCTTCCACGTGCTACGCAACTGCTTTGTGGTGATGATGGTGGCCCGGGATGAAGGCGCCTCCTTCCGCATCTTCTCCACCCTGAACGGCAGGGGTATGGACCTGTCCGTTGTGGACAAGCTCAAGGCTGACCTGCTGGCCGGGGTGAGGCCTCAAGGGGGAGGGCGAGCTGGTTTTTCGATCACTGCTCCTTGTACGGACACAGACGAACCCGCTTCCTAAGTTTTGGATAGCTCAGCTCCTGCATTTTTGAGCCTCTCCCTCAGTCCCAACAAGTCACCCAACACCGCCTACCTCTCCTGCCCTACCATACCCCAATCCTGGGCCCCATGCGGCCCCCATCCTGCCCCATCCTGCCAGCCACTGCACCTCACCTCCCCCTCGCCCCGCCCCGCCCTTCCCTAGGATTTGAGCCCCGTGGAGCGCTCCCATTTCGCCGATGCCTGGGCTGAGATGGAGTCCGTGCTGGGTCGCGCCTCGTTCCACCGGGTGTTTGACCACATGCGGGAGCTGGCGGCCGTGAGCGACCCGCAGGTCAGGGAGACGTCGGTGCTGGAGTACTTCACGCGGCGGGTGGATGACCCCAGCGCCGTGAAGCAGGTAGGTGGGTACCTGACGGGGCGTGGCGGAGTTGTGGGCGGAGGGGTAGAAAAAGGGAGGACGGTGAGCAGCTGAAGTTGGGGAGTGATGCGAAAGTTGGCGGCGGCAGTCGTTGCCTTGGGTGTGTCGAGCCTTTCCTACTCCATGTGTCGGCACATGTCGGCTTTTCCCACCCCATGCGCCGTATGAGTCCACCCATCTCACGACACTGTCTCGAACTCCTTGACCTTCATACGTCACGTAACTCCCCCCCCCCAACCCGTGCTCTTTAGTTACTCGTTACGCTACGCTACTCCACCCTACTCCACCCTGCTCCACCCTTCCGTACCCACCCCCTAGGTTCTCCAAGTTGCACTGGACTACGGCCGACTGCTGTTACAGCTCCGTCAAGCCTCCTGGGCACCCCCCGAGCTGGCGGCGCTGCTCGCGGAAACACCCACAGAACCTGCAGTTGATAAGATTGCCGGCAACACTTCACTGGAGCAAAACCTAGCTGAGGTCTCGCCGCTAGGCCAGCAGAAGCAGCAGCAGCTGGAGGCGGCGGGCAACATAATATCGGCTATGGTCATAGGGTCGGTTTCGGAGGAGGTCACAGCTGCTCTGGGACCGGAGGATGAGAACCGGCACTTAGAGACCATGCACGAGCAGCACCGCAAGTGGCTGATGGACAGTAATGCCGTCATCGTCGGCGGTGGCGGCGGCAGTATCGACGACGCAGGAATGGCGACGGCGGTGGAGGTGACTGATTTGGTGGAGCAGCACCAGCACCAAGGGCAAGAGGAGGGTTCGACGTTGATGTTCCGGTTCGACGAGCCGGCTGCGGCGACGCCGGTCGCCACCACAGCCGCTGATGCGGACGTTGGCGATGGCGGCGGCTGGGCGGCGACGGTAACGGAGCAGCACGAGGTGGCTCCTCAATGCGCACCTGCAGAGGCGGCGGCGGCGGCGCTGGTGGCGACACCAATAGACGTTGAAGGCTTTATGGAGAAGGTTGTGGGAGAGGAGCAGCAGCAAACACAGGGAACGGTCGTCAACATTGAGCCCCCTCCTTCGTACTCGCTGTCCGCTTCATTCCTCTCCGCATCCGTAGAACAACAGCAGCAGCAGCAACAACAACCTCCGCACCAGGATTCTGCAGTCATCCAGCTGCACCAGCACCGGCAGGAGCTTCAATCAGATGTGGACGAAGTAGCAGGTATGGTGACGGTGTTGGAGAAGCCTGTGGAGGAGGCGGAGGCGGGGGCAGTAGCACCACCAGCAGCAGCAACAGAGGGGGAGGAGGGGGAGCGGCAGCAACTGCATGACGACGACCTGGGACTAGGGGCCCAGCGCCAGGCTGCGCTGCTTGCCGAGCTGGACACACGTAGTCGGCACCTGAACATGTTCGCGGATGAGTCTTGGCTGCCGCCGTTGTTGGAGTTCTTCTACCAGACAGAGGACCTGGCGGCTAGGGCAGCGTTCATGAAGGTATGACGAGAGCAGCGGCAAAGGCGGTAATGATAACATTGACAATGATGGTAATGACAATTATGGGACCATGATGACAGCTCTGATACTAAAGACAGTGATGATGACGGTGATTGTAAAGTGCCTGACAGGGAAATGGATCTCGCAGCAAATTGACGTTTCAATGAAAGGACACGAGCCATGTCGGTGACGTTGAAATGGTTGAACAGTTACGAAGAACGAGTACAATTCCATACTATACAGTAACATATGCATGTACGGCGGCACATCGGCACTGACGGTGTGTTGTACATGTGTTGTTTATGTGCCGTACGCAGGGTGCCGAGGCGCTGCAGCTGTTACTGGAGCTTCAGGGGGATCCGGCGTTGAAGGCGGAGCGGTGGGGTCTGGTCTCGCAGGCGTTACTGCAACGACCCTTCCGGCCAGAGCAAGTGCTTGGTGCGTTGCGACTGAGTGACGAGGAACGGCAGATGTTCAGGTGATGAATCTGGGTGGGTTCGGGGGAATCTTTAATTTTTAATTGTTCTACGGCATAATGTACGGTAATGATGCCTGTATTGTGTGCGGCACATTTTGTTATAACAGTTCGTGCATCATTAACATTATGATCGTAATACCTTTATTGCCTCATTACCGTGCTTTTCCCCGCTCGCGCACCGGTTTTTGCAGGTGGTATAGTTTTGTGTCTTAGTGAATTGTTTGCTGCATGGACGGTGTTGCTAACGTCGTGATTATGTGGACGACCGTGCAGGGCCCGTTTGGACGCCAAAGATCTGTACGGCACAACAGACCAGCGCACCTTGCGGCATTTGCTTGTCAGGTAGTCGGTTGGGGAAGGTTGGAAACGGCGGGAGGGAAAACAACGTTGCATGGAAGTCGAGCCGAAGGGAAGTTGAATGAAGTAAATAGAAACTGCTCATTTCTGTCGTGTCCCAAAGCTGTCTGCGGATGCAGTTCATCACTTTGAGAAATCTATTGCGCGTATGCCTGTAATTAAGGCCCTGGGCGGACTTGAAGGCCAAGTAGCTTGTGCGACTTCCGCATAGGGTTCCTCTCGCTGTTGACTCCCTTCTTACTCCTAACCCCCAGCTAACTGCCCATCCACACGCCGTTGATCGTTGGGTCCAGGTGCGAGCCCCCTTCCGTGTGCCGCTCATTGATGAGTCCGGGAGGTCTGGGGGGCCTTATTGTGGAGCGAGTGGTGCCGCAAACAGCCCCCGAGGTAAAAAGGGATCGAGTGGTGCGGGAAGAAATTGCGTTACGGGCCGGGGATAGTGTGAGAAGAGGAGGGAAACGCGGTGAGGAAGCGAAGGGGGGGAAGCGAATAAGGTACAACGAAGGGGGGAAATTTTGGATGCTTGTGCTAACAGCGTGCGGTGGACGAACAACCGCGGTGGACGAACACCCGTGTGGGTCCACAGATCTCTGGGTCTCAATTACCCCACGTCCGACCTTCCGTCTGGGTCTCCATTATTTTGTTGGGCAGATGTCCGGTTTCGTGGATCTCCATTATCGTGGCTGCTGGTCCGTGGGGAACTGGCGTTCCCGACTCCCACTGTAGCCCACCTCACCTCACTTTGGCCCGCTCCACTCCACCTTCTTCGTCTCGATTCCACACGCCACGTACATGCCACGCAGGGCTCAACTTGGCGTAAGACGCGGATCTCGTCACCTTGTGATCCGCATTCCGCCTGGCCCGACCCATGGTTCACTGCTGCGGCACGCACCGCCGGCACGGTCACCGCCGCGTCTGAAGGGGAGCAGCCGGCGGAGGCAGTAACAGCAGGACAAGATGTCGCCACCTCTGCTAGCGCCGTGCCCTTATCGTACGAGGTCAAGTATTGGTACGAGGTACAGCGCCTAAACTGGCACGGGAAATTGGGCAACTTGGTGCTGCTGCCTGCTACTACTGCTACCGCTGCTTCTGCTACAGCCGACTATGACGCCAAAGTGGGGCTTTGGCGGCAAGCGGGCGTCGCGTCGCGGTTGCCGGGTTTCACGGGTCCGTTGGTGGACGAGCGTGGTCGGTACGGCAGGTTCCGCTTTTGCCACGACGAGTGCCGTCAGCGCCACGCAGGTCAGTAGTGTGTTTGTAAAGGAGAAGCGTATTCCGTAACAAGAAAGTGTCGCATCATGTTGGGCCGTCTTAGGTCCGAGTGAAGGTCTCATTGCGAGCCAATCGATACTGTGCAGTGCCTGCAAAGAATCTGTTGTGTGATGCCAAAGGCTGTTCGAATCACCCGATCGCCTTTCGAAGTCATCTAGGATACTAAACATACAAACACCCCCCCTTACATTCCTCCCTTACTGGCAGATATGTTGGAGTATCTGATCAACGAATTTGAGCTCTGAAGCATGCTGGTGATGGCGACTGTAGCAGTGGCGGGTGGTACTGTAGCGATATGTGAGCGTCAGCGGCACGCCCAGCACTGTACAATTTAATAGTATACCGTTGGAGAACGACATGGCTGCAGCAACTCCATGGGATCGTTACCGTTGTATCTGACCTACACTACACTAGGTCTCTTCGGCTGGCTACTGCTTGGCCATATCGTATTAATATTTCAGCAGCAGCGGCTCCATGCCAGCGAAGGCACTCGGGGCCAAAGCGGTTCTGAGCTGACGCGTCTGCTGGAAGATTCCTATCTGTGTGATGGCGGGAGTGAGTGTTTCTTGTATTTTTGAGGATTTTCGGCGCGGGCGAAGGCAGCAGCAAGCTTTACAACGGCGTTTTTCCCGGTTTTACAGGGCGATTGACGCGAGGAGAGATGTCGGAATTGAAGTTTTGATCTGAATTGTGGTTGTTCGAAGAGGGAGGCTTTATCGTTATCGGTGAAGTGGTTGCTGTTGTCAAGCTCTCCTGTCGCGTCGTGAACATCAAGTGACAGTGTGCTGGTCATGTTTTGTGCTATAAACATTCTGCCTATAAGCACATATCATCGGCGTTATAACGGTGATTATGGGAAGATGAGTAAGCTTGGATATATGCAGCCATTACTAGAAAAATACCGCTATTGTGAGTAGACGTCATAGACAGCTACGTTATATACGCTACGCATGGAAATCTTATGTACACGTTGCTGAAAGGAGAAGCATCTTTCCACTCACGCGTTTCTACGGCTGCATTGAAAAGACATTGGACAATTAAATATCATGAACAGCGTGTATTAACACCCTACGTCACTGTCAGTAGTTCATAAAGCTCCTAAATCACTAGAGACCATCGCTCTTTAAAACGCGTCTCTTATAAGTCAAGGTTCCGTCCCTAATCCCTTTCGGCAAAGTCCCGCTTTCCTGCACGGTACAACAATACTCACAACATCTTCTAGCAAAGACCTCGTCAATTTAGTATCGCCGAACCGCCGCTCGGATATTGACGCTCTGGTTAGCTCACCTCCTCCCCCTAAAGGGGACGAATTTAAAGAGATTCCCCTTTAGCTGCAACCGTCAGTCCTCTCACCCCCTCCCCTTCTTCCCCTCCCTGTCACTTCACTCCAATCCCCGCCCAGCCCTCGCCTCCTTCACATCCATCACGCCGCGGCCACCTTGCCGTCCTCCACAAACGCCTGCTCCGCCAGATCGATGGCCCGGCCCAGCGCCGCCGCCTTGTTCACCGTCTCCTCGTACTCGGACTCTGGGCGACTGTCGGCCACGATACCCGCACCCGCCTGCGACGACAAAATAAGGAAGTGGGGTTTCATGGACTGAGCTGCAAGAGGGAAGCGGCAAGGATGCGGACGAATGTATGTATGTTGTTACAGGGTGGTTAACTTCGCCAGCGGCCCCCTTTCCCGGGGCAGTCCCTGCTCTCCCCTGCTAGAGGGGCACCCTAATCCGTCACCCCATCCGACTTCAGAATGTATTCGTTGGGTTCGGCAACTCACCACCAGCATCCAACCAAATCTAGCGGATCAACGGCGCATCAACTTAGTTCCTGGTCAGCTCGCAAGTTGATATTATCACGTCCTACACCGTCCATATGATGGGGGGTCACCTCCCATTTCATCACTCCTCAAACACCCGAGGAGCTGGCAGGCGGATTTGAACCCGGGTCGACTGGATCGACTGGGAGCAGAAGTCAGGCCTTAACTTCTGCCAGCCGCCTGCCTAATGTATGTATGTGTGTATGTTTGTGAGGAAGCACAGAAGGAAATAAGACAATGTGTGCGTTGTGGCGTAGTGGTGCGATCAAATACTCGCCAAAGTAGGGAAAAAAAGAAACCCTTTACTCTTCATCAAGAAGGGTTGTCATTGAATGATATAAATATATAACGATGAACAAGTGTTCACATATCCCATGCGAGGGAGGCTTTGCAGTAAACAGGGTCACACGCCGGGTTTTGATCTATCCAACAAAATTCAAACTTAACCTGCAAATCAAATCTGAACTCGAGCGGACTACTCCGCCAATACTCTCGCGCTTCCTTGCAGTTTTTACTGGGCTGTTGGCTGCACCCCCCCCCCCACCTGGATGTGCACGCTCCACTCGCGGCGAGGTGGACAGCCAGGGGCCGCAGGAGCGTCGTACTTGTACAACGTGTCAGCTGCCGAGTCGGGAATAATCATCGTTCGTAGCCCCAGGGCCATGTCCATAGCCCCTTGTTTTGGTTGAGCGTTACGTTACGGCGTTACAGTATTTGGTTAGGTTGTGTGGAAAAGGTGGGGTGAGGTAAAGTGAGGTGTGCCGGAACGGCGGATTGGAAATACAGGCAGCAGAATGACGGCGGGAGGGCGGGAGAGGAGGAAGAGAGGAGGAGCGAAAGCACAGCTACCAGAACAGGGATCCTCACCACAACATTAAGAAGGGGGCTACTGACTCAGGAAGTAACTCCAGAAAGCGCAAGTGGCCCCCATTGGGGGGAAAGGAAAACAACAACGCCCTCTCGCTTCTCCTCTCCCTCACCCGTGAAGGACACGTGACCAATACCGCCGCCGTACGGTCCCCGCTTGTTGGCCTCCAGTTCGTCAATGATTTGCATGGCGCGCACCTGACAACGAACGAACAACAGAACGACCAACGAACAAACAACAGAAAAGCGAGGCAGCGGAATTATTAACCTCAACCTAGGGGGACCAATTGTTTGGAGAGCGCAGCGGAAGAATTCCTAGCCGACCGAGGCGCCGACCGTAGCAGTGCCCATCTGCATAAGAGCATGCACAGGTCATATGCATCATTACGCCCGTGACATGTTTTGTCCAGCCACCCCTTCCTCCTGCGAACCCCATAGCACCTCTCACAACACCCACGTATACATGACGAGGATTATCGATCACCCCAAACCGCTGTCCTCCCCCCCCCCCAGCCCCCCCCCCCTCCCATTACCTTGGGCGCCCCGCTGACCGTGCCCGCCGGCAGCGCCGCCCTCAGGGCGTCCCACGCGTCCAGCTGCGGCAGTAGCTGTCCCGTCACTGTGGAGCTGATGTGCATCACGTGGCTGTAGCGCTCCACCTCCATCAGCTTGCGAACCACGACACTGCCGGACACAGAGACCTGGCGGCAGACATACATACATACATACATACAATCACCCAGTCAGATGTCAGAGTTACACACAGTATTTCTCACGCGCCCGCGCCCTCTCCCACGTCGTCCTCACCTTCCCCACGTCGTTCCGCCCCAGGTCCACCAACATCACGTGCTCCGCAATCTCCTTCGCATCCGCCAACAGGTCCGCCTGAGGGGGGTGGTGCAAGCGGGGCGGGAAGGGCCATTACAGCAGCAGCAGCAGCAGCAGCAGCAGCAGCGGCCAATAGCCAGCAATGGGGAATATGACCAGCATGCACATATGCGCGTGAAAGCAATGAGCAAACGAACCGAACCGAAACGGGAGCGCATACACCAGCAGCCAGCAGCACCCCGCTACTACCACCGCCTCCTCCACCGCCACCACATACAAGAACACGCACACACACACCCCATCATTGCCAGGTCCTACTGCCCCTTACAGAGTTCATTAGGAGACACACACACACACAGACAGACACACGCACACAGACACACACGCATACACGCACAGAATCCGGGGCACCCTGCACCAAAGGCCCTTTCTCTACACCACCACCATCCCCCCGTCTCAGCAGTTGCTTCTTGGCCACTTGTTGCATCACATAATTCCCCCGTCCTTTCCCTCCCCTTCCCCTCCCCGCCCTCACCTCCAGCGCCTTATCCGCCTCAGGGTCCTTACCCCGGGGCCGGGTTCCCGCCAGAGGCCGGTTGGTGACCACGCGGCCGTTGTCCACGCGACACAGGATCTCCGGAGAGCTGCTCACAATGTGACACCCGCGAGCCTGATCAGGAAACAGCGGGTGTACATTGGGGGTACGAGACGAGGGGTACACATCACACGTGGTGATTATGTGATTGACAGGGAGGAAAGGAAAGGTGGGCATGGGGGCCCCTCCGTACCTCCGTACCTGCATGTACACCATGTACGGCGACGGGTTGACCACCCGCAGCGCCCGGTAGATTTCAAAGGGGCTGGCGAATGTTCGTCTTTCAAAGCGCTGGGACAGCACCAGCTGGAAGATGTCCCCCGCCTGGATGTGCTCTTTGGTGGCCGCCACGGCGTCCATAAACTCCTGAAGGTGATGGGGGTGAAAAAGGGAGGGAAGTGGGTTAGCGCCGTACTTGTTCGTAGTATTGCGTATGGATGCCAAACTGCCAAAAAACATAACCAGGCTGGTGTAAAACCCTCAGGTCGCAAATATGCGCGGAAAAGCTCTATAAAGGAGGCGGACGTGTACGGAAATGAACACGAACAAACAGCGACGGGAAGTGTGAAGGAAGTGATGTGGGTTTTGTGATCACAACGTGATACCACAGCAGCATCAACATCAATAACCCGGAAGTGGAGGTCACTCTGAAGAACGGCGGACGGTTCAACCCCCAACCCGAATGGACCCGAATGGACGCGGTTGTGTTCCACACCCCACCCTACCGGGGCCACCAGCCCCTCTTCCCCCCACGGAGGCCCCTCGGCACGTGCCTGCTTCGTCATGTTGGAGTTGGATGGCAGTGCAGGTCGCTTGTTGAGGTCCAGGGAGATGGCGCCCGGGGTGAGGGAGGCGGCGGGGGGAGCCGAGGACAGACGGGCAGCCAGACGGCCCAGTCGCGCGAGGCCGGCATCGTAGGCTGCTCGCAGGGCCTCGGGACTAGCGGCGTCCTACATAGGCGGGTGCATAGGCGAGGGGGGGGAGTAGGTGAGTAGGTAGGTAGGTAGGTAGGTAGAGGGGGGAAGGAGATGACGGGGCGGAGGGGAGGGAAATAAAGCGATGCTGATGCTGATGCTAATACATGTGCAAGGAATGACCTCCCCCGGCTGCCGTCCACCCAAAGCACCGGCGACGGCTGATCCGGTCGCTTCTTTTTGCCTTTCAGCGCAATCCTTCCTGGCTTGTTTATTATTTCCCTGTCATGCCTTGTTGGCTGCTTGGCCAAACTCCCCTCTCTCTCCCCCCACCCCACCCCAATCAAACAAAAACCGCCACCCTCCTCAAAGCCCAGAAAACCCTCTTTCCCCCCCACCCACCAACACACACGCACACACCCCTACACACCTGCTCCGAAACCGGCACCCAGGAGATCGGGTAGAGTATCTTTGTCGCCTGGTCAAACACGACCACATCGTAGTACAGCGCCAGGTGCATGTCGGGGAGCTGACGGTCGTCTGGAGAGTGAGGGGACGTTAGGTGGTGGTTGTGTAAGTTGGGGTGAAGGGGGGTGGGGGGAGGAGTTCATGACAGGAGGGCCCTATGCGCAAAGGAGGAACGAGCCAACAGGCAAAAAGACGTGACCGGAACAGCGACCCGGACAGTGGGGATGTCAGCCAGCCGGCAGGGGAGCCTTTGGGGGAGAGAGCCGGGGTACTGGCCGTCAAGGAGGCACTGGCCGGGGTCCAGTGGGAAACAGTGAGCAAGTTCCGGAGGCGGTGGTGGTGGTGGTGGTGGTGGTGGTGGTCGACGTATGGTTTGCCCTCAGTGTTGGTAAATTGCCCCTCTGAGCGCGAGGAGCACCCGCCTCGGGCTCCTTGTCCTCCCGGACAGCAATCCACCGCCGCCACCATTACCACTACCACCACCATGAATACTACCAGCAGCAGCAGCAGCAGCAGCAGCAGTAGCAGTAGCGGCACCGCTGCCCTCTCGAAAGCCTTTGGGACGCCGCCAACACTTTTGACATTCGGAAGTCCAATATGATGATGGTCAAGAGCCCGGGGGCCCCCAGGTGGGCCCCCCTCACAGGTGGGCCCTATGGGCAACACACACACACGAGCATCACATCCCACCCATGACCCCTCAGCTCCGACTCCCTCCCCATCCCCATCCCCCTTCCTACACCTCTCCTAAAGGAAACCCTAAACCCCCACCACAACCCATCCCTCGCCCTCAAACACACGACGCACCCGTAGGAGCTGACTCAAACGGCAACTTGTTGCCGTACACGTAGCGCACGGTGTCGTACCCGGCGTACCCGACCCAGCCGCCGGTGAACACGTCCGGAATGCCGTCCACACGCGCCGGCCGCCAGTTCCGGCTCAGACTTTCCGGAAGCTAAGCACGGCATGTACGGCACATACAATTCAAAACATTCAAATATCATTTTATATCCGACATACATACGTGGAAAAAGGGAGGCGGAGTGTGTGAGAGGACAGGAAGGGGAACATTCGGTCCCAGATCACACACAGCTCCAGGCCTCCGTATCAGGACCCTCGAGTACCGAGGACTTCAATCACTCACGCACACTCTCAACGACTCAACGGTCAACGGTCAACCTGTGAAATTCGACCACGAGGTCCAAAGCAACCGCTCCGCTGCTTTGGTGTGGCAGCAGGCGTACCGTTGCAGCACCCGCACAGGCATATATGCTGCCTGGCCTATTCTGACCCACAACTACTAACTAACTACCCCACGCCACAACCGCCAACTACCCCTGTAACTACCTGCATGGGATCCTCCATCGTGGTAACGGTACGGCTGCCGGCCGCGTGATCCAGCAGCACCACCCTGTCCCGGGTGGCCACCACTTCGAGGGCCGGACAGGAGCCCAGGAATGAGTAGCGGCCCTGCTGGTCGCCGTTCACAACGCTCTCCAGCAGGAAGGAGGGCAGCTCGCTGTCGTTCTCCGAAACCAGGCACCTGACGGGTTTGCAGACAGGGAAATGAAGACGGGTTTGCAGACAGGGAAATGAAGACAAAAGCCGGATTATTGAAATTTGCGCGTGGCAGGATATTTGGACTGGTTGATTATCGCAATCGAATTTCATGGAGAGACAGGATTGGCTGTTCGTTAGAGACAGGACTTTGCATGGCGACGCTTTTGGCCCCGAGGGGAGAGAGAGGAGGGTGGGGGGGAGTGATGGGTGAAAGGGAATAAGCAAGTACGGGTGTAGCGGTCCGGTGCCCACACCCAGAGCGTCCGTGCCGGACTTGCGTCGTGGGGAGGAGGGTGTCGTGTTTTGGAGGAAAATTAAAGAGGGGGAGAGGGAAGGAGGCGCGGGGAAAGTGTGTCAAGCCAAGCAACTACACGCATGGCGTTGAGATTGGGCCGCGTGCACCGTATATATGCCGATGTGCACGGACGTACACGTCCATAACGACACATCGTGATGCGGTGCAGTGAATTTTAGAATTCGGGTGGCGAGCCTCCGATCTCCACCACTTCGAAACCCACATCCCAACCGGCCGCCAACCCGCATCTTGACGGCGCCCCCGGGATAGATCTGCTGTCACTAGTTCCCAACCCAGGTCGAAGGTAAGGTCCCGTTGTCCTACAGGCTGGGCTGTGTCGCAGTAACCATGCGGTCGATGTGTTGCAGGGAAGGGGAATAATGGAGAGAGTGCCGGAGTCAAAAAGGGAGTCGGGGCCACGGCACGTACCGGTAGGCGGAGACGGGGGTGAGATGGTCCGAAAAGATCCGTTTGCTGAGAGGCACCAGGTTGGCGCCGCTGTTCACAGCCTCCAGGAACTTCTCAAAGCCCGCGTCACGGGCGCTGCAGTTATGGGTGCTGCTGCAGCTGGCGCTGCCGGATGCAGGCGCCGGCGAGACATGCTCGCCAGAAGAGGAACCTACGCAACGCACCACCGTAAAATTGGATTTCAGCTGTAAGAAAACAACCTCCTTTACTCCCCTATCCAAGGCAACGGGGCCCCGTCGGGAAGCCATCGCACGTGCTTGCGGTTGTCCAAGACGTCTAATCATAACAACCCAGTGAATTAGCATATCCATAATCTCATGCATGTTAATACCTCACCTTGCTGGTTGCGGGTTAATGAACCCGCATCAATAGTTGCTGTCGCCTTTACAGGAAGAAAGCCTCGCCCGAGCGCTGCCCGCAATGCCTAAATTTCCACAAGGGGAAATGGATTAAGTCTTGCTTGTCACACCAAAATTGGCCCCGCCCGCCTGAGAGCTTTGCAAGCTTGGCGGCTTGAAATCGCGATAACTAACCCGGCTAGGTACAATCAGCTTCCGGTGGGCTGTGGCATATTGAGCATCGCAAGCATTTATGTGCGGCCTCTGACCTAGAAGCGACATGATTTTCCGGCGACAGGTGTTGAATGTTCAATGAAGGCAAGCGTGGGCTAACGAGGCTGCATCAGCTATGGTAAATATTCTAACCTCAGAGTGAAAGCAATAATAATATTATAGCAGCACATAACTACGATGTGTCCAGGACGCAGTGACACAATTACTTTAAGGCCTTGCAGTGCAGATCTCCTGGAAGAGTCGTGAATGTCTCTGTCAAGCCAATTGGTGTTAAACACGTCAATTTTTTTAAGATTATTGCTGAGATGTAGCCTGATGTGTCGCTTTCGTCCCTCGGGTCTGTGCAGAGCCGACTGGAGCATGAACGAATCGTAGATGGAAGCAACTCTGATACATGAATAAAATCTTACACAGCGGCATCTTCCAGCAGCATCCTTCACATCATGCCAGGAACATCTTGGCACATCCTGCTCGTACTACAGCCGCAAGCATCAGGCAACGCCCTTTCCCTTTTCATCGTACCTCTTAATACGCATCCTAACATGTCATATCCTGTACCTCTATTCAGTTATACACCACATGCGCAGAAGAACACAAAAAAACTGCCACAAGCAGACCAGAACGGCGAAGCGAGCAAGGCAAAAACACACTCCTTGAAGCAACTGCAGCTGAACAGCTTAAAACCTTCCACACGTCCATTTAACACCGAATCTCAGCGCATGGAGCGAAACAACCAAAACACACATACAAATCCTCTTAAACCTCATCTATCTGATCGCTACTTCCGCGCACGATCCTTACCCTTCCCCAAAGCAGACCTCAAAACTTTTCACGTGTGGGCGTCGTGTCTGCAGTCCGAACCTCATCACGATGCGCCGGGTCGCTGTCCTGCATGCTCATCTCGTCCAAAAGGCCCCACGATGGAGCCAGGGTGGGAGGGAGCCTGTGGAATCCGTTTTCCAGGCTGTGCTTGGCCCTGCTGCAGGAGCTGACAAATTCCCCAGGTTATTAAGAGACCACCAAAAGGCTTCAATCCATCCATCCATGCATCCATGCATCCATGCAGCGAAGTCCCCCTGTCGTCCCCAACAAGACATCAAATCACCTGCAACGGTCGAGACGACCACACCACCACCACTACCAACCAATCATAAAACAAAAACACATGTTGTGTGGCTCACAGTTCACTCGTGGTGTAACGCGAATAACGTGAACAGCGCGAACGCTTCTTTCCATTCTCCTATCCACCGCTAGAAATAGAAACGCGTTATTCCGGCACTTGCTGCCTGACAAGAGTATCAATTACGCTGTAGTAGTGTTACGAGTCGCACTGTGCTCGCTTCCCGACATGGGCTCGACGGGGACATAGCTCTTGTCCTCGCATGCTACATCCGCTATAGCAGGGCATCTAGACGAGCGCACACGCACACACGCACACATGGCACAGGGGGAAACAGAGCACGGGACCTATGAGAGGGCGACCTGATCTGCCGTTAACACCAGTCCCGGACTTGCCACCGCGCCTATACGCCTTATACACGGATAGCATACGGAAGCATAACCTTGAAGCACAACAACTCTGCACGCGGGCCTTCCCAGAGGCGAACAAGAGGTCGGTAAGAGTGGTAAAATCTAAAAAAAGCTGCCAACGAATAACAAAACGCGAGTATCAGCTGTTCACAGCAAGCAATGTTAGTCGAGCGTGGCGAAGTTCACTCTCTGTATAGGATCACATTAAAAACCAGGCTCCGAAGCCCAAACTCCAAAACTACATCAAATTATCCCCACCCAACCATCCAACATATTTTATTTAAAATTATCCGCGTCAGCAGCATATAGTTGGATATACGAGTCAGGTTAACCCATCGGGATGTACGGCGGGTTGTTTACCGTTATCCAGGCTCAACCGCCGTAATGACGGCAGCAGCCACTGCCGAAGCAATGCGAGTATTGCAAAATGTCCTCGCCGTACAAACTGACAAACAGACGTCGTACAGCAGACAAACAGACCAACACAGATAGCCTACCTGGTCACATACATTACGAAATCGCGTAGAACAGGCAGGGACTGCCATGCCGTACCTCACATCCTTTCATTCCGCATAATCTCAGTGTACGGGCGCGTACGGCGAAAGCTGCGATGCATCAAACTTACACGGTTGCACAATGGTTGCTGCCGCCACCGGCAGCACAAGCACAGTCCCCGGCCAGGAATCCGACCTCGCTCGCGAACATTCCCTATCTGGCTGTTCAACCTTCGCTGGCGCCGCCGCTATGCTGCCGTCACAGTCGTACTTATCGTACGATAACAGCGGCTCCGCCAGGTTGTTCTCTTCGTGGCTCCTGCTAGGGGCCCATAGCCATAGTGACCGCCCTCCTGCCACCGCCACCGACTGCTGCTGCAGCTGGGGCCCGCTGCAACAACCCAAATCAGCTACGCCTCCTTCAGTGTCCTCATCCCAATCCAGATGTACGGCAGCCGCTGTACGACTGTCCTGTGCGCCCAGCTTATAGCCTGCCAGCGTCATGCCCACAACGACGACCAGCCCAAGGGTCATGACGACCAAACAAGTCAGCTGTACGGCAAGAAGCAACACGACCCACATAGGTGGGGCTCCGGTCAAATGCGTTACGCCGACGTTGACGCCAGCGGCGACGGCAGCGGCGGCGGCGGCAGCCACAGTATCTTCACCATCGCCCCCTTCATCCGCGCTCACCGGCACAACCAGAAAGCCCGGGTGCACCGCCCATAGCGCCGGTCCCTTGCCGTCATCCTCCGCGACCACCGCTACCGCTGCCGTACCTCTCCCGCCGCCGCCGCGTCCATCGGCGCGCGCTGCCGCCGAACCTGCCTCGCCGACGTTAAAGCCCTCCACAACCTCGCCGCTCGACATCTGACGGAGCTTCGATGACCACACAAAGTCCTGCGCGCCGCCGCTGGCGACAGCGGCGGCGCCACCGTTAGGTATCGGCATGGTCGTATCGTACGACTCGTCAAGGCTGGAATCCGCATTCACGTGTTCACTACTACCAAAGCTGTGGACCTGCTGTTGCAGCCGTGCAATGGCACGCTCCGCCATGGCCTTAAGCGCCGCGGCAGCGCTGGCGGCGGCGGCGCCGCCGCCGCCATCGACACGGCGGCTCTCGGCTGCCGCGGTCACTCTTGCCATCCTTTCCTCCCGCTCTAACAACCGCTGCTCTATCGCCTGGATCCCAAGCAGCTGCTGTTTCTCCTCCTCTTCATCCTCCTTATCAGGTAAATGAGTTGGATTCTGAGGCTGTACGACTGGAAAAGCATCGCCGTACAGGTAATTTAGGTTAACACCAGAATTCGGAGCATCAACCCCCTCACCAACTTTGACAGCGGCGGCATTGGATGCCGTACCGACTTCGGAGCCCATATCCACGTCATCATCGCCATCGAGAGGGAACAAAGCCATTGCTGCTTCACCCCCTAACGCCAGCATTGCCGCCGTTGTGGCGGTGGCAGCGGGGGACTCCCCCGAAGATACGTCTCCCACGGAACCCACGCGCGCGTCATGCTCCGAAACCCGGGGGTAATTCGACTCCTCCGCAGTACCCCAAGCGGGTGCGGTCCGACCCCCTTCGGAGCCGCCCTCGACCTCGACACCCTCCGCTACCCCCGCCATCATCATCATGGCGACCGCCGCACCACCGACTTCGCTCTCCCCCGAAAATGCCACGCTGCCGCCTGCCCCTGTTGTCGCTGCTGTTGCTGCAGCTGTTGTTGCTGTTGCTACCGCTGTTGTTGCTGCTGCTGCTGCTGTTGCTACCGCTGTTGTTGCTGCTGCTGCTGTTGCTACCGCTGTTGTTGCTGCTGCTGCTGTTGCTACCGCTGTTGTTGCTGCTGCTGTTGCCCCCCTTCCCGCTCGCTGAGGAGCAATGGAACCGCCCCCGGACAGCGGCGGAATGACGACCTCCTGGCATGCGTTGCCCTCTTGGGAGGTGTCGCAGTCGAAGGGCTTCAGGTCCTTGTCCAAACACATCCAGATCTGCAAAACCACACAAACAAAAACACGTATGTGGCACAGGAAAACACACATGCGCGAGGATCGATGTGCGAGTGTGAGACGAAGGCCATGATAACCCAAGAGGCCCAAGGCTGCTTTTTCCGTGTCTTTAGGGTTCATTCATCTCCGGTAAAGCGTGTTCGGACAATCTCAGTCTCGGCAACTGGCAGAGGTGCACGTTACGATGGCAGGCACGCGCTCTTGCAGCTGCGCTGAAGCAATGTGACACCGCACACGCGCACCTCGGAAAGTTGGCCCTCATCATCGCAATGTACGAGCGGCCGTACACCGTACGTATCGTCAATCACGTCAATCAGGTCTTGTGCGCGATACGCGGTTGATGTACTGGGCAAGATGTTGGCCTTGCGCAAAGCGGCCTGAGACGAGGAGGACATGTTCACGTGAAAAAATGTGGGAAAATGGCAAAGTGACCCTTGGTTCAGCTTTCGAGTATATTTATACATACTGTTGGATCAAGTTCGATGCCGTGCTTAAACTCCCGACGTGTTGCCGTTTTATTGGAACTCGGAAATATTGGGAGGAGAGCCAAACAACAACCCACATAAGTTTCAGTACTTACCGACAGGTCGTATCGCCAGTGGAGCTTTAAGATATGGCCAAAGTACGAATGCTCCGACGGAAAGATGTCCAGCGCACATGTGCCGTGTTTGGACCACTCATGCTCCCAGAACTCGGCATTTTCGGAGCTGAAAAACGTGCTCGGCCACTCGACCTCCAGATCGTCCATCAGATCTTCGAGCTGGTCCTCATCAAATTTGTCTTCCGGAGTGCAAAACTGCGGCCAGCTGCCGTTACTGTAGTTGGGCCACAGGCCGTGAATGGTGAAGTGGAACCTGGGGAGTGAAGAAGAGGGGGAGGGGGAAGGAGGTGGTGTTGGGGGAGGTTGGGGCTCGGGGGCTTGGGATTGTGCAGGACGCAGGGAGCGGGGGATCGACGGGGATAACATAGCGCAGGAATGCAGGAGCGTTGCATAATGAAAACGGAGGGAAAAAAGAAGAATAAAGCTGGGGGATCAGGTCACTGCGTTCTAGAGGCTTCATTTCATCCGTGAGGTATCGCCGGGAGAGAGGGTGTGAATCTTTGGATGGGCAGATGGTTGTGCGGAAGGGGGGGATTGCCGCCAGGTGGGGTCGAGGCGGTTAAGCCGACGATGCAAGTGTGCGCATGTGTTACACCACATCTCATAAGCATGTGTTTATAGGGATGACAAGAATCAACGGGATGAGGAGTTCGTCGTCCGCGTTGAATTGCTGCTGCGGATGAGATTGATTACGGTGAGGAATGGTGGCCTGCAACAGCTCTGACTGGCTAGCTGGCGCGGAGGCCTCGTGCCGAGCAGGCAAGAGACCCTTCAGGTAATGCTGATGAGGCGTCTGTGAGACGAAATTTAACAGCGCCAAAACGCGCTAGTACACGGGGGATAAGAGCATCCTCGCACGGTCCATTTGCGTTTCGGTGCAAAGGACAGTTCGGCTGGAAACCCACCCGAAATCTCGAAGCCGTGGGCAGTCGTTCGAGCTGCAATAGCTGCCGGGCCATTGCCTGCAAGGATGAGCAATGCCCAAAGGGTTCGACAGCTATGTGCGACAAACGGTCGAGGCCGAGGCCACCAACGCACCTGACTAGAAGGAAAAAATCAAACTCACGTGGCTTGTCCTTAACATTATGCAATGACACAATGTGCCTTGAGCAGTTTGCCAAGCAGAAAAGCCCGGCGAAAATGAGCTTGCGCAACCAAGGGGCGTAACCCCGGCCTGACGCCCAAGCGACAGGCATCACAAATGAAAGGCACCTAAGATCACAGTAATTCCTGAAGAGGTAGCAAAACTTAGTTGTAACGAGTTTTCGTGCTTTGATGGCTAGGCTTTATTCAGCTTACGCAAACAAGCCCTAGACTGATTAACAGGAGTGTCAGAACGTCCAAAGATAGTCAGAAGTTTTTGAGATATCTCGGCTTTTTTCTTGGTGTTGCCGACCTGGCAAGAAAAGACTAAGACGGCCGTACGCTTACGAATCCTTTCAGCGTCATTTTAAAACTAGATGTCAAGTCAACAACCTAGCAAATTTCGGCCAAAACAATAACCAGACACACGTTGAAATGTGGTATTAGGAGGTCCCCAATTTGTGAATGGGCGTAATCGGAAGTGGCTGAATTGTTCACGCTTTCATTTGGCTTGCAAAGCTTCAAGCGATATGCCGGACCCGTGTTTTCGAGTCAACGGGACGTACAAGCTTTGATGGCGATTGGCGAATACGTGGACGACACAAACCAAAACTGACAAGTTTAAGCAAGAACCCGACTATAACAGCTAGGCCTTACAGACAGCAAGGCACCCAGCCGCTTGCATGTACACCGCAGGGAATTTCCTTAAGACACCATGAAATTCTTTGGACAGATTGTAATCAATCGCTTCATAAACGCCCGGACGCAGGCGCACGGCACTAAACAGTACCCCCTCCTAACGCAACCAACCCGACCTGATGAAAAGCAGTTGGATGCTAACTAACACTGCGTTTAACACGCAGAATCACCTTATGTCAGACATCAGCGGCTTGTCCTGGCACAAACCCTGCATTTGGTCCTCAACGTGCCCAAGCGATGCCTTGGAAGGCAAGCAACAACTTCCAGGCACGTACTTCTGTGAACCTTGAATTTCCAATCTTTTAGTTCAACGCAATAATTGCCAGAAACCCCAGAAGGTCGTGGGCAGGCCAGGGGATTTGGATTTGTGTGGCTGGCCCCCTTCCTTTCTTCCCCGCCCTCCCCGCCGCACTATCTTGGTTAGAGGTTAGTACGGGTTTGTGGATTTTAGTAGTTTGCCTCTTAAATATGGGGTGTATTCGCGCGTGCAGGTTGCTAGGCGAGGTATTAGGAGCCAGCTGGCTCCTAATACCAGCTCTATTGCGTCGTGCTGCAGCACGACGGAATAGCGACTCGCTGGGTGAGGCCGTACAATATGCGCGGGGTTGGTTAAGGGCCGTTGTCCCATTTTTTTCCTTTTCCTCAGTTTGCGGTTACCGGCTTGATGAAGCTCCGCTTCGTGATATTGTGTGGCCTGTTGTTTGTGGGCTTCCGGACCAGCGAGCTTCCGGACTCAGATCGCTGGAAACTGCTTGTTACTAACTGCCCATCTGTTAGGCGTAATTCCTGAACATTCAATGATGATCCCCCCCCCTCGATACATCCCTCCATACACCATTCCATACATTCCCCGCTCCCTTCCTTCCTCCCTCCATACGTCCCGCCCTTCATACATTCCTCCCTCCATCCCATGATGATGAAAGCGCTGCCGGCCTGGCAATTCACGAGCTCGCAAGCGAATTAGAAAGCCTCGGCATACGCGGTGTCGCAAATTCGCTTCTTCTCTAGACAGAGCCGGGGCAATACGGCCGTCGCTATTTTGCCAAGGCTAGGTCTTAGCGTTGCTCTATAATACTTTATAGTGTAAAGATTTTAGAGAGCTGAAAGGCCTATGTAATGTTACAAGCTCGCAAGAGTTCGTAAAGCCCAGGAGGCTAATGGACCGCGAGACCAAGCGCGAAAGAAAAAGGAAAAAAGAACTAAGAAACCAAGCGAAAACGCAAGCAATACCAAAAGAAAAGGAAAGAAACTATTAGCCTAATGCCGAATCCAGAATTAATTCAGCCAGCCCGCGCTGGTTTTCAACACACGTAATAAGAAGCAACTATGGGTGGGTATGGTTACTCAGGTTAATACTACTAACGAAGCGAAACCCTGACGAATCTCATCGTACACCGAACAGTGCACCGAAAGGCAAATCGTACAGGCGGGGCTCAGCTGAGTGTTAAATTTTAGAACGGTCCGCGGCATGCCTACTTAGCAAAGTCTTCATTCACAAAACGACTAAGGTCGCTCCCGTCTTAGTTTTCCTAAGTGTAACATTGGTCATGAAGATTGTAATGTCCGCACCTGAAGGAGGTGTGTTTCTTTCAGTTGGTTTTCCCGTCTCGCCTTGCTTAGCAGTCTTGACGATAAGTTGTCCACACAAGCTAGTAAAGTGTTAATGCTGCATGCTGCGTCTTGCGCGGAACATATCATAGATCACTTCAGCTAATCCGCGCTGGTCTTTCACTCACATGAACTCCAGCATGCTCGCGCTCAGTGGAATTCACAAATGCCCTGTCTATTCCAACAAGAAGCGCTTTTTGTCTCCGCAGTGCTAGTGTTACTGCATGTGGCACACCCTCTGTGCTCCCTAGCCCGTTCATACAGCCTGTTAACCGCCAGCTCCGACACACCTTGCCTAAATCGCATCAGGATGACGTGATGCGTTGGTGGGATATGCCCTCCATATATTGCGACGGCCCCATCCAGTGCTTGTGCAGAACAAGCTGCCCTGCGCTGTCAATATGCTGTCGTACATTGCGAAGTCCCTTGCAGTGGGAAATCGCACAGTAGCACACGCATCCTAAATTACGGGTCCACCACCGGAAGACGTTTCCAAAAATATTGATATGTGCAACCCTTCACGCGTTGCACCTTCTAAGAGATCATCCGGTTGTGCGTTCAGTAAGATGTCATCATTTTCCATAGTCATGACGCGCATAGCGCCTTGGCTCTGCACAAAGGCACGTGGAGAGAATCAGCTGAAATATTTGAATCCTTTCGTTTGTGCACATACTTCCAGGAAATTTGGTCAGTAAACCCCTAGCTCCAACTTCTTGGCAGTTTGTAAGCCGGCCAAGAATCCAACTGCTTCAACCCGTACATTTTCCAACGTGCGTTGAAGCTTTAAATCTACTACATAGGGCATAAACAGACCATATATGTATTCTGTTACGTATTTTCCCTTTCGCACGGTTGAGGTTCCAGGTATATACCATGGTCTCGTGCTTGAGGCTGCTCGCCCTCACCAGCTTGCTCTGTATCGCTAGCGGCGCAAGACCATTGTCATCCATATCATGGTCCGGAGATGCGACTTCGTCTGCAATCCCGACGGCGCAGCGCGATTTCGACTACTTCATGTTTGTCCGGTACGTTCCCCTTGGGTCCTCTATCACGGGTCGCCTTGCTAACCTGCATCTTTTTAATATTTTCAGGCAATGGGCAGGCTCATTCTGCTCAACTCATGCTTGCCCGCTGGTACCCAACCGCGGGTGAGCTTGGCGTCAGGGAATGCTATCTCTCGAAAGGACCATACCAGGGGTCCCAAGACTCGGGACATGTTATCTTGAAAGATGATCACTTTTCGTCCTTACCTCTTTCTCCATAGCTCGTTCCTGCTGTCCTGCTGTGTCTCATCCCAGTCGATCCCCCGCTCCCTGCGTCCTGCAGAACCCCAAGCCCCCGAGCCCCAACCTCCCCCAACACCACCTCCTCCCCCCTCCCCCTCTTCTTCACTCCCCAGGTTCCACTTCACCATTCACGGCCTGTGGCCCAACTACAGTAACGGCAGCTGGCCGCAGTTTTGCACTCCGGAAGACAAATTTGATGAGGACCAGCTCGAAGATCTGATGGACGATCTGGAGGTCGAGTGGCCGAGTGTGTACGACTCGGACGAGACTTTCTGGGAGCATGAGTGGTCCAAACACGGCACATGCGCGCTGGACATCTTTCCGTCGGAGCATTCGTACTTTGGCCATATCTTGAAGCTCCACTGGCGGTACGACCTGTCGGTAAGTACCACTCGGCCTTTAGGGAGGGCAGTGCTCCATGCCGGTGCCGGTCTTTAATAAAATAATTTCGTTTGATTGGTGGGGAGGCTCGGAAGTGAAAAACAAAACAAAAGCGGTTCTTAGGAGGCTGGCGGAGGGCTGAAGGGGTGAGAAACGCTGAAGAGCCGCTGCCCGCACAGAACTCTCCTGCTGCGCAAACCTGCTGCGCAAAACGCTAGAAGATTAAAGAGCACACGCACAGCACGGTAATCAGTTGTGTTACCCACTCTCCCCCTCTTTTGTACTTTCTCCGCGGGTTATCAGCTTCACTCGTATGTGGTTCGTCTCTCCCCTTTTTACCCCTCGCCCGCCTCCGAGCCCCTGTAATTTACCGCCGCAGCACCCCCCCTTCCAACTTCATCCGCACCCCAGGCCGCTCTCCGAAAGGCCGATATCGTACCCTCTAGGACATCGGTGTATCGTACCAAGGACCTGATCGCTGCGATCGAGGACATGTACGGCGCACGGCCGCTCGTACACTGCGGCAGGAAGCGGCAGCTATCCGAGGTGGGCTCTTGGCTCCTGCCCCCGGGGAATGTTTTTCCGAGAAGATTGTTTGCGGGGCCCTGCATGCAGAGTATTTGTTGACCCTGATGATTTGTTGTGTTTGGCTGGTTTGGCTGTCTGGTATGAGTGAGAAGCCCGCCAGGGTGTTGAAGGTGCAGGTGCCCTCACCGCGACAGCTGCAGACACACACAGAGCTGCCTCGACGTACTGTAATGCGATGTCGCAGCACTAGTATAGTATACATGGTCCGGATCCCATTGCCGCTTCGCAACTTTGACCCCTTTCCCCTTGCTCCAAGCACCGCCTACACCACCTTCACGAACACCAATCCTCACGCGCACACTTATGTCTTTTTGAATTGATTTAATCTTAGCGGCAATATGGGATCAGGCTGACATTTCTGTGTGTGTTTTCCTGTGCCACATACGTGTTTTTGTTTGTGTGGTTTTGCAGATCTGGATGTGTTTGGACAAGGACCTGAAGCCCTTCGACTGCGACACCTCCCAAGAGGGCAACGCATGCCAGGAGGTTGTCATTCCGCCCTTCAAGAGCCGTTTGGACGTTGACCAGCTGAGCAGCAAGGACGAGGAAGAGCGTGACGGCGTGCAGTAGCTGGCGGTGGTGGTGGTGGTGGTGACGGAACCGGTGAATATGTGAGCCCTTCCTTCCTCTGCGGGGGCCCCCCTAGTCCTGCCAGTTATTCCTTATATTCAACTGGTGGTGGGATCACGTTCTGACGAGCAGAAAAGAGGTCATTGATGATGTCATGTACTGCGAAAAAGGTGTGAAAGAGAGGGAAAATATTGTCAGGTGCGTCCATGCTGACATAGTGGCGAATGAAAAGGGCTGTCGTTGCAAAGACAGGGAAATGGCAAAATATATATACCCTGACATGAGAAGCCCGGAGGTGGGCAAAAAGGTGTGACGGGACCCGGGCCAGGTTTTCAGACTGGCAGCGGCCATTTTTTTCCGATCGTATGTTTTCAAAATCAGGAGCTTTGCAGTCCGATGCGACGTATATGTATCATTTTGATTTTTTTTCCAACTTTCCGTGCGTTTTCTTTGTGGGTATGAAGGCGTATATAATAAATAGATCTTAACTCCGCTTTCCGGTCGGATTGGTCAGCGCTTGCTTGCGTAGACCAACGAGGTTAGTTAAGCGTGTGTTAGGATGTGCGGATGTCAAATACTTCAAAACCGCTTAGCCGTCGTAACCAATCGTCACATTATTGGTTTTGCCGCGATGCGTCGATACTATACAGTTCTCCACCATTAACTCGGTCTTGTCGTCGTGTCGCATTTCAATTGCACTGCTAATTTGAAACACGTAGATTGGAAATTGTAAAACCGCTACACCCGTGAGCATCGCACCATTGCATATTCTGGCACAATGGCTGAGCAGCGAATATCGATAAGAGTTCCTTAGGTCGCATGTTGAGACCTCTTCCAAAACCGCTTATATAACGTTTTGTCCGCTCTTTAGCCCCGGCCTCGTTAGCCCGCCTGTGCCCTTGGTGTTCGCCGAGAGACCATATGCTTTCATCACCACCTCCATAAATTCCAACACGCCCGCCACGCAGCAGCAGCAGCAGCAACAACCCACCACCACCACCACTATCATCGTCATCATCATGATCAAGATGCCAACGTCATGTAACAGCGTCACCGCTAAGCTCGGGCTCCACAGGGAAATGGGGGACATGCCCACTCCCCTACTTAAATTTCAAATAGAAGGAAACATGAAAAGAAACACAGAAAACGCGGCCGGAAAACATTCGGTCCGGGTAATTTTGTCCTACACCATGCCGCCACCAGCCGCGCCATCGGACGTCTTCAACCCTTTTTCCCCCCTTTTTCTGAGCGCGAGCGCGTTTGTTAAACTCACCACAATATGGTGTCTCATCAAGTCACAACCTCCAATCGCATCATGTCCCTCCCAGACGTCTTTTGTCTCATGTCTTTTCATCAAATCTCATCAGCCACATCGTCCATTTTCGCAGAAGCTTCCCCAGCCGCCGGGCCGTCCCGTCCCTCAGCATCCGATCTGCGGGTGGTGGCGCCGCGGCCTCCGAAGTGTTTTACCAGGCGCCGTACGGCCTCCGGCAGCGCGTCCCCCGGCATCCAGGCCCAACAAATTCGGAAGAAGCCCGGCTCGGAGGCATGACACTGCTCGCCTGGGTTGTTTTGTACAGGTACAGGTACGGGTACGGATGTGTAGTGTATAGGACACTATGGATATGTGCAAGTTATGGCAGATGACGGCGTTGTGGTAGAGGTGGGAGCTCGGGGTAAGGAAAAATATCCCGGGATGAAAGTCATAAAACAGGGCCAGTTAAGAGACCTTAGTTAGTTAGTTAGTTAATTAGTAGGTTAGTTGGTTAAGGCAGGGATGGCAGAACCCATGTTGTACATCTTCTCGGGGGGAACACAACAGCACGTGTCATGAATCGGACTGCGGGTGTTCCCGAAACCCTTAAACCACACCTCCCCTCCTCATCCTGCCCCTTCCCTGCCACAACGTCCATCCTTTTTTAGATACTGTTCCCCCACCCACCCCCTTCGTCCTCTGTCCCCTCTCCTTGCCCCCAACACTTGGTGCTTGGGAGGTATTGACAGTTGTCTCTCTTTACTTTTGCACATGATTCGTCATAACACACATCCACCCACTCATCCACCCACTCATCCACCCACTCATCCACCCACTCATCCACCCACCCATCCACCCACCCACCCACTCATCCACCCCCCCACCCCCCCATACCCACCCCCCCACCCACCTGGTGTCAGCAGCACCCGGCACTCCCGGCACATCGCGCTCCACAGCTCCTGCTCACCCGACCAGCCGGGGTGCTGCGGGGGAAGCCACCGCCTGCACGTCCACGACCAACATCAAACAGACAGGTAACGGAGCGACCGGGAAGGAGAGGAGGAAAACGGGCCGAGGCCTCGAGGCCTCGAGGCAAAATCATCATAAACTGTCCAAACGCTCAAACTATGAACTGCCGATACTGGAACACGAACCAAAAGGGGGAGGGGCGGGAGGGCAGCTGTGGAGAATCAGGCGAAGTCAGATAGCTGCGGGGTTTCAGACGAGATCTAAACGGGGGGATCTGGAAGCGTGAGTAGAAGCGCGTGGCAAGTCATCCTTCAAGGGTGCATACAAAACAAACAAACAAACAACAGACAAACAAACAGACATATACATGCTGATCCTCTTTATCCAACACACCCCACACTGCCGTCCCATCCCTCTGCTACCCAGTCCGCAAATGTAGCTGCACACTTCTGTAATTCGGGAGGAAGGGGTTCCCCACCCTTCCAACTCCTCTCCCCTTTCACCTCTAAATCCCCCTACATATTCCCTCCACTCCGTACCTCAGGTCTACCCAACAGAACATGGCGCTATCCGCCCGCAAGTGGGGTATGTCCGCCTCCTTTAGAGCGGCTGGCGGGAGGTGAAACGTGGGATTGGGGGCCCCCCGGGGGGTCAAGAAATGACTGGATGATGGTGATGATAATGAAAACCGCGGTTTATGTGAGGGAAGGGTCATATAATGCAACAAGCAAAGATGGTCGAGTTGCCAGTGGGGGGGAAGAGGCCAAGAATAAAGGAGAAGCGCGGGGTGAGAGGGTGTGCGGAGGGAGAGGTGCATGAGGTGAGGCGGTGTGGGGAGGCGGAGAGAGAAAAGTTTCCAGTCCAGAAATATTTCATTTTGATCGTGAAAAGCGTTTTCCTAACAAAAGAGGAGGGGGAACAAAACTGAAAACACACGCTGCCTAAAGAGAGCGGACGAGAGATGAGAGAGGAGAGGAGATGAGAAGGGGGGAAAACAGGAAAAGGATGACAAACTCTGCACGGGAAAAGGGCATTCCAACAAACCCAACCGCCGGTTAGGTAAGATAACGACACACCGATGCTCCTGTAATGCCGTACCACGCACACCGACTCCGGGGGCTCCGCACCCCCTCCTGACATATGGTCCGCTACCCAGCCCCCGGGTCCCTCCCCCCCACACATACATACATGCATGCATACATACATACATACATACATACATACATACATACATACATACATACATTACATACATACACACACCGACACACTCCCTCCCAGCTCTTACCCTCCAGCTTGTCGTACGAGGCCTTGAGCCTGGCCCTGTTGGTCGCGAGGAAGTTGTTGACCCACTCCCGGTCCTCCAGGAGGTGTGTGAGGGCCCACTGGAGCGGGTTGGGGACCGCACAGAAGTAGCCCAGGTTGTCCAGAGCCTGGGGGGGAGGGAGGGGGGGCCGCGGGAGGGAGGGGGGGACGGGGAAAGACGAACCACAAACGGGCCGGGGGACGGGGACGGGACCGGCGGCGGCAGCAGGAGGACGAGGTAAAGGGAGGTAAAGGGCGGGGTGAGGAGGATGCGGCGGTGGTAGAGACAACGAAAGAATGGAAGGGCAGGCGGTAAACAAGGATATACAAACATACAGATACAGGATACAAAACATACATATATATGTGTAACTATTATGCGTGTATATATGTATATGTATATACATATACATAATACATGTACATCTATGTAATTATATAAAACGTGCAACGGGCGGCCGGGGCGGGGGGGAAATCGCCAACATAGGACCACTGCGGGCGGGAGTGCGGGCGGGCATGTGAAATCGAAAAACCCAGATGCCAAACACCTTCATGGGTTGCGTGAAACGGGACCGGGGAAGGCGCGGGGACATACACACACATACACACACACATGGGACATATCCAACTTTCCCCCCCCCCATGCTGGCAGGGCAGCAGCTGTACTGTCCGACCGAAAAACCAACTCTTTAAATAGGCAAACTTTCTGTGATGACGGGCTCTTGAATGGCAAGGCGACGAAGGGCAAGATTGCAACACCCGGGCGCCTGGACGTGGCGCCAACAAGTATACGACCCAACTCGATGCCCCCGGTTGAAAGACGGTGCTAAGACGATGTCATGCTGAAGTGGAAGAGGATGCGGGAAGGAGGCTTTTATAGGTATGGCAAACCACGCCAGCTCCCTTCCCCCACGACAACACCTCAACCCAATCCGCACATACCTCTCCACCCACCCACCCACCCTCATCCACCCACTCGCCGGTGCCCCCACCTGGTGCAGCAGCTTGTTCCTGGTGTGCAGGCAGCCGCACCGTAGTCCGGAGGCGCACAGGTCCTTGGACAGCCCCCAGACCACGTGATGGAGCTCGGGTAGCCGCTCGGAGTGGGGCAGGGCTACGGGCGGGGGGGGGAGGGGAGGGGGGGCAGGGGGAAAGGGTGAGGAAGGTCAACAGCCGACGTCCCAAACACCGGGATCCCTCCTCCTCTCCTAATGCCTTCTCCCCCACAACCTTGGT